ATAGATTAATTACATTTAAAAAAAACACTTACAGCCAACTCAGAAAAACATCTGGATCGACGCAAGGAGCCAACGAGGATCCTTCTCACTCAGGTGAAAACATAACACTAATCAAGGGGACGAGGAATAACTGGAACTAATTGCAGAGAAAGTAGGAGACGCATGAGGAGGGCTGGAATAATTAATCAAAATATAAATTCAGATAAGATTCAAACAAATACCTAAGCCTTGTCTGTTCAGACTTAGACTTAGACTTAGACTTAGACTTGACTTTATTGATCCCTTGGGAAGACTCCTCAGGAAATTATAGTTACCAGCAGCTCACAGGCAAAAATGTGGCACACAGTAAGCATACACAAAATACAAAAAAATACAAATTAAATACAAAACAAAGAATATAAATACAACACAAAAGGAAATTAGTGACGAATAGTGACGAAAGTGAATGTTTATCTATCCGACTGGTTGCAGCACTGAAAACACTGTAACACTACCACAGAACAACGCAGGCCAGCACCATTTTTGTTATTTGTTAGAGTGAAGTCTAATGCAGGATAGAGAGAGAGATGGAGCTCCATCATTGTTTCAAAAACAGATGCAATCTGAATGTACACACTGGAATCGATGTACTCTGGGAACTGGTTTCAAAAATAATCATTTTTAGTCTCCCAAAAATCTTAATCCATGTGGACACACAGCCTAAACAACAAGAAACCATTGTGGATAAACCAACTCTAACACAGCTGAACTACCTCCGAAGTTCATCATCAAGTTGTGCACAGACATGATTGCAACTGAATATTTAATACTTTCTGCAGGGAAACCAAGTTTTCAGTGCCAGAACATGCATGAGTTAAGCATGTTAAAAAGACCAAATCAAAAGCCATCGACAACCTGAGTCACTGTGGCAACCACTAAAACAAGCTGCCGGGAGAGAAGTTGCCTGAATAAATATGAAACTTTGAATGCACTACGGCATTTATTCCTATTTGAATCTGTGGCAGACTGCCTAGATTCAAGAGTGATGGACAATATAAAATGTTTTTCATAATATGTTATGCAAAAAAGCAGGTTTGGCCCAACTTAAAACTCAGAAAGTTGAAAACATGGTTTATTTTATTTTTTTACAAGCAATTTCAGTAAATATAAATTTTCTTTTAGAGGTAATTCAAAGCTTAATAAAATACAGTTTTTTCCAACATCCTATTTCTCATCCTGCAATTATTTTGACATTTTTATTGAACACCTTTTTAGACAGGGATGAAATACTGTGCATTTTTACGCAAAGGGATATATAGAGCCACGCACCTCCCTTAACAAACAAATTCCTGTCTTTTTGGGAGACCCGCTCCAGTACATTGATGAAGATAGCTGAATCTATGCAACACAACCTGAGATAGCGAGGTTTTCTGATTAATTTAAATGCCATCCATATGTGGCCGAGTGAGCAGCACTTCAGAAAAAGCTAATTCACAACAATATTCTACTCATTGAGAGAGGATGAATGTTAACAGTTACTAATTCTGTTTCATTGAAGCATATGGGGAACAAAAGGCCAAAAAGATTATTTCTTTCATCTTTAACTTGTTTTGAAAGCTGCAGACATGTTTAATCAGTAAAATACTTTCTGCAAATCATTAAATGTTTCATGCTGGAAATCTGCAGGGTTTTGTTGTCCTCTGACAGGAGCACAATTTCAGAGAACAAGTAACACACTTGTTCTCTAAGTGTCACAAAACGTCTTGTGCCGACCATGAGCTTCCATACGGAGTAAAACATTCCTCTGAAAATGGTGACAGAAACCAAGGCTCCAGTCCTGCACACATTAAAACGTTTTTGAGATGCCATCTTAGGGACAGGACAAAGCAGCACCAAAGAGAGAAATAATATGGTGACAACAAAGCACGAAAAGAGGGATAGTTGTTCAAATGTTTAAGTCTTCACTATGTTCTCATCAATTATAATATGTTCTGCCTCATGCTGGGTATTGACAGTGCAGAGAATAATATTTGAGTTAAAACATGCTTTGATGCATATTATAATGCATGAAGTTGTCACAACATGAACAATCCTGTAGATATTTTTTAAAAAAAGGGTAAAATAAAGTCTGACTCAACAATTTAGAAAGCCACAAACCTAGGGGTAGTTTAAAACATTTTTAATGAAGTTTATAGTCTAAAAATAAGAAAACTGGTGCAACATGTCCTTTATTAATGTAATGTTAGCTATGACACTGTCATACAATCAAGTCTCCCATGTTTCAATATCTAAACATTCCTACTGATAAAATCAAAGAACAAAACTGCGAGCAAACTGAAAAAAAAAGAAAACTAAATTTCAAATTGGATGATTGTATTACTGTCTTATTTTGTTGGACTGCTGACCAGTTGAGCTCCGCTCTTCAGTGTTCACTTAAAAAATAAATTCATATTTAATAAAAAAAATTAGAAAAAAAAACATAGACAATAAGCAACACACAAGCCAGCACCATGAGAGGCAATACATTTGTCTGCAAATGTGTTTTTAAAGCAGTTTTTGTCAAAATGCTTTGACAAAAAATTGTTGAGGCCCCTTTAGTGGGGCCCCAACTGTACAAGGCAGATTACTCAGTTGACCAATAAACAACCAAAACTTAATTAGAGGGAAAACAATGTTTTTTAATCTATAAAATGCTTTGGATGAAGCTACAGGCCATGCTAGAAATCAGGAAAATAAATCTTTCTCATCTTGCAAGACAAAGATTGCTCCCTCCTTCCATGAGTTCAGAGAAAACTCTTGAGTCAGTTTGGAAATCATCAACACAAGGCAAGTTTTGATGACTTAGACAACCTCAGCAAAGAAAAAATCTACTAGACAACACTCCATCATGGGAAACTCAATCTCATTTCTTTCACACCTTCAATTCAGGATGAATAAGTTGCTTCCCACCGCTGTGAAACACATCACAGCTGACATTTCAAAATGAGAACTCAGCAGTCATTTTTAACACAGAGAGCTCACAGCTCTGTGAAATAAAACCACATTTACGCTGACAGGAATAACACATGTTCAAAGTTCTTCAGGGCCATGTCCCATTATGTAACATGCAATGTTTGCTCTTAAAGATATATGTTGCAATTAATCCTTAACACATCATAACCTCCTCTACAAGCTGGTGAAGTCAAGCAGACGTCTGGAAAACATCTAAAAACGGCATTTGTGGTAAAGAAAGCAAGAACACCCCTGAAGGGATCACCAGCATGCTGGCCTCAAGGACAATCAGGAAGACAAATTCCCTTCTGTCCTCATTGATGTTTTACATGCTACCACACTGTGCCAAACAATGTGCTCTTTGTTGCTGGAGGCCCCTCTGCGACACCTACAGAGAGGATGACGAGGGGGCTCTTGACCCTGGTCCTCGATGCCCGCTGTCCTGCAGGTTTTACGGTTTTTCCTTCTGCCACATACCTGATATAAATTTCTGTTCAAACCCTGTTGGGGGAGAGTTATGCCAAATTATTCTGCTTTGCTCCCCATCCTGATATTCCTGCCAGAAAATGGGTACTATACCTGTAGGGGGGAGTTCTGGGTCAGCTGCAGCTGGCTGATTATTTTTTTTAGGCAAACCTGTGAAGACACTGTTGAAATAATCAATTCAACCAGAGATGAATGCATTAATAAATGTTATAGATCGTACTGAGACATGTCTCTTGAGCCTGGAAATGATCTTCAGGCAGGAGAAAGCTGACTTTGTAATTCTCTTTATGTGTCTATGAAAGTTTAAGTGTCCCTCCTTTGGTGGGGCCCCAAGACAGAGCCATGGGGAACCCCTTACTTAATCTCTTTTACTGTTAACTCTCATATAACCTTACCTGTTGACACAAAGAAATGCCTGTTTTTTAAGTAAGACTCAGATTGGTCAATTGAGGTTCAATAACGTCAGCATTGTGGGTTTTTTCACCCTCTGTATTTCTGTGGATTTCATTCAACACTTTGATCGGGTCAGTCTCTGCATGGTGGTGAACATGGAAGCTGGCATGAAAGACAGCAGAGCGGTTGGTCATTATTTATTTACATGGGGAGAAGTTTTAAAAATAAATACTGACACTGTAGTATTAATAGCCTAATCTACTTTTCTCTGTCAGGAAGAGGAAAAGGTGCGACTTGAAATTGGATGCAGCTGCAGGTGAGACAATTTTCCACTTGTGCACAAGTTTTGGGATCGCGGTGAGTTTCAGCTTAAAGAGAAATGTTTAACATCCCAATCGTATGGTCACACTAATATCAAACTTATTAGAAACTCTGGTTCCCTAATGAAGGCATCAATGTTGAAGCACTGCCATGAGACAAACTTACTGGACCTTCTCACACGGTGTTTAGAGTAAGACGATCCGGCATTGCTACTTCCCAACAAAAAAGGGTAAGTTTGTGGATGGTTCTGTCGTTGAACATATTACAGAAACATTCGAAAATAGAACTTACAATGTTTTTTTTATCATCATTATTTTGAAGTTTAATGATGTGAAAAATTTTATTTGGACGAAAGAAGCAAAACCTCTTCCTTTTTGCCCGCTCCGTTGACCCAGACTTTCATTAATGCTAAGTGTTGCCACTTTCACAGCTTCAGAGCATTTCATTTGTCCAGATCTGAGCTGTCAATCTTCTCTATCCTCTCAGGACCCCTCTTTATATTATAAAACAGATAAGCATGCAAAATCACTGAGCTATGATAAAAAAAATGAAGGTTCTGTTAAATAAACCACATGTAAATAGGTGCTCAAAGCAATAGGGAGGTCTGTGTCATGGAGTCCGCTCCATGTTTGGTTTGGCTGTGAGCGGCGTAGCTCGGTTTCATTTGGGTCCTGAAATGCTTTCTTAAATGTTTTGTTAAGACTCTGTATCATTTAAAATCCTGCACAGATGGAGAATAACTCGACTCCCAAATGGTTTTTATCTATTTTTAAAAACTGCAGATGCTCAAATGCATCCTAATGAGCAGAAAGAATGAGAATTTTTTTTTAAATAAATACCTTTTTTTATTCTGTTATTGGCTTTTTACAGGTACAAAGCATACAGCATGTTATAGTTTTATCAAAAGTGGAAAATACTGATGTTACATATGTAACAAATGTAAAAAATAAGTAATCGATCTTACTTTCCCTGAAAGTAAGAACATAACATTTCAGCATATGAAAATTTGCATAAAAACACTGCTAAAGTAATTTAAGTTAATAAACAGTACAAAAAATGTAGAAACCATACATGTCAACATAATGAACAAGAACACCACCAACATGACAAATGACTGTGATTTTTTATAAAATAAGAAAAAATGTACATAAGTTCATTAAGTTTTAGTTCAGGTCATGTTTACAGAATCAACATTTTTATTTTCATAAGTGCCAGGGAGAATATTGGCTGGTCAGAGAGTGTTAATGCAATTTTTTCTTAACAAACACTTTTTCCCAAAAAGACTATCTCCTCAGGCCAATAAAACTGAATCCTCAAATGTCTGTAAGGCAGCAGACGTGATTACCTTTCACTCTTGGGACATTTTAGCCAGTCTTAGAGGAGGAACCGGAGTAAGGCAAAAAAATAAAGATCAGATCAATGGTGGGGTCTGAAAAACATTGAAAGTGATTGTTTTCACACAGGAGGGCTGTGTCAGGTGCTTTTTGATTAAACACATGCTTCTTTTTAAAAAATGAATAATGCATCCCTAAAAATAGACTCCTTTCATAAATGTAGTCATGAACTTCTGTGACTTTCTATTCAGCCATTTTCTTATCTCTTGACAGAATATTTCAGGAGGGGGAATATTATTGGTAATAAAGGACAAAAATGCTTGATCGAGATAACATAAGCTCCTAAATTGAACTCAGGTGAGGGTTTTCTTCCAAAAGCCATCCATTATCGATGGATATACTTAATGAGGTCTCAGAGAGATGAGTGCACAGTTTGTACAATTTCAACCTAGAAAAGACTGGTAAACTATTCCAAGGTGGCATTGATGAAATCGTTCCTCGGTTTTCTGCCTTACTGCATTAAAATTCGTCTTTTTCTGTTGAATATCAATAAAAACATACACTTGAATTTACTCACAAAATATACAGCCTTTCTTTTTTTAGAATGACGATTGACAAAATTCTACAACACTGTAATAAATAGTCTCATACATATTGCTCAGCTTCTCCTTCATTAAGAATGGTTACTGAGCCATCCCCGCTATTCATTTCAATGTCTTTCGCTGCAGCATTCTCAGGAAGCGAAGCTAAGTCCTTAAAAACATCAACATAATGTCCAAAGCCGGGCCCCCAGTTCAAAAGATTGTCCCAGTTGAAGCCCCCAGCTTGCTGGCCCAGTTTGTGGGGCAGTGTGTAGTGCTGCTCAGCAGAAGGTGTCTGGGCAATGCCAGGCCCGCCTTCTGCCCGCCGGCTAGAATATCGCCTCTGCTTGAGCCTCCCACCATAGTCCTCATCGTCAGCATCTGACTCGTTGACTTGCGAGAGCTTGGGAACTCTGGAGCTGTAGGAGACGGGCTTTTCCCTGTCGTACTCCATCTCCGAACAGGTGAAGGAGTCATGTGAGTCACTTTCAGACGAGGACTCTGGAGCAGGAATACCATCAGCTGGGTTGCGGACCCTTGACAGCGGCCTGCGGCAGTCCTCCTCTGAACTGGAGCGCCCGTGGTCAGCGCTGCAGATGCTGGGGTTGCGTGGACGTGGTGTGTTAAGCCTCTCCACCTCTTCAATGGACAGCCCCACTGGAGGCCCTGTCTCTAGAGGGATCTGTTCGATTGGCTGCTTCAGCCGGCTACCCGGCCTGGAGGTGTGGCCATGGCCGGCCATCGTCTGTGGACTTTTGCTGCGCCTCCCCAGCCGGGTGGCGTAGTTGAACATGGGCGGGGGTTGGCACATGTCATTGTGCATGTCCAGTGGGCTGCCTTCACGGCGAGCCAGGTTGAGGTCTCTGGTGGGAGTGTTGCGGTAGAAGGAAGAAGGTTTGGTGAATGGAGCTGGGGAATGTCTGGAAAGCGGGTTGGGGGTCGGACAGGCAGAGTGGGAGTGGCTGAGTGGAGTGGACCTCAGGGCTTGCGTGTACTGAGGCTGATAAGTGTAGCTTGTTGCCCCTAGTGGTAACGGCGACTGTCTAGCAAAGCCCAGAGGGCTGTGTCTCTGGATAGAAAACTTGGGAGTGTGGCTACGGAACTGCTTGTAGTGTTGGATGATGTCTGCATCTGATGGTGCAATACTGCTGGCATTGTCAATGTCATAATGTTCAATATCTGCCTCTGGCCCGTTACAAGGTGCACAGGGAGCACTGGGAACAGTCTCATTGTTGTGGGGAATATCTGTTTCGTCATATATCAAGTATGGGTTCTCCCTCTCAATAATGTCTGGTTTAGGGTTCCCTTCTGGTTGTTTTCGGACTGTCATGTCATCTCCATATGGTGGGATGTTGTCTGGATCATCAAAAGCGACATTCTCACTACCCTTCTTCTTTTTCTTCTTTTTCTTCTCACTAGGTTTCTTCTCCTTAGGTTCCTTTGGCACTTTGGTCTTGTTGCGGTCTTTGCAGTGGTTGCACAGGATCAGGCTGAGCACCACCAACGCAAGGACGGTAGCACAGCTGCCGACAATAGCCGGCACAGCCCAGATGGGTAGAACCATGGCTTCTACTGTAGGACTGGGACTGCAGACAAAGCCACCATTGTCGGCTGTGGTGCAGACGGTACCTTGAGGGCACTGGACTCCCAGACAGGCCACCAGAGTTTCGCAAATCTTGCCAGTGTAGAATTCAGAGCAGATACAGGTGAACCCGGAGTGGGGGTCTGGGATGCAGCTGCCGTGGTTCTGGCAGGGATTAGAGGCACAGTCGCCGGGCGGGACACATTGATATGTGTACCACTGGTTGACACACATCAAGCCATCTAAACACGGGTTGCTCTCGCACAAGTTGGGCCCTCTGCAGCCGATCTTTACAGATGAACTGGTCTTGGTTAACGCCACAAGGCTGTGCTCTCCAGTAAATGGCAGGTTCTCCCCATTGTACTTTACGTATGCCAGGCAGCCGTCAAAACCTGCAGAAAAATATGGGAAAAACAAACTGAACTTGTCAACAAGAACAGCCAGCAGCAGGTACACAACAGAGGTATAAAGAAGAATCATTGGGCCTGGATCAGTTCCTCATAAACAGCAGGAACTTCAAGCTATAATCAGAGGTAAAAGGAATTTTGTTTGGATGGGTAATAAGTTCAAGCTTAGGACAAAAACAATAAAACTTGTAATTTCTCATGGAAAGCTTCTACTGTAACAAAAAAAAAAAACATTTTAAAAATGCATCCATCACTGGCCAATTTGAAGGAAGACATGAAATGTTTTCTAACAGAGAATCCATCGTCGGGCCCATTATGGCTTCAAGACATGCATCTGGGTTGGATGAATGTCTTTGTGTCTAATTCAGCCTGTTGCCTAACAGCGCTGCCTCACAGATGTAAACAGGTTTTTATTGAATTTATCCCAGTGCAGATTAAATCCATTTGTGTCTTTTCATTAGCTTAGGAGCAGCGAGAGCACAATAGAACCCAAATGTTCAGACACACACTGAGGTAAAGGCTGGTTAACAGGCAGCCTGCCACAGGTCTGCGTGCTGAGAGTGTGTTTGTTTTGAAACGGTCCCTTTGTAAAAGACTTCAACAAATCATTCAAATGGCTAATTTTTTACCATATTAGTACATAGTATAAGCCTTGTTTTTCCCTCCCCTTAAAATCCTAAAATTTACTGTGTTGCATTACCTCCTCCTGGAAACCCTCTGCTTCACCTTTTCCAAACTTATACTCAAGGACATCTGATCTGGGATTTAAAAACCCAGCAAAGAAAAGCTAAACTGGGAAGAAGTTTAGCATGAAAAATCAACATTTTCCGAAATGAAGTAAAGTTAAACTAATGTTGGTTCTGGTCTGTGTAATTGGTAGAAACTTCACTTTGTCAAACTTTTGCAGGATAGCAGCTCAGTTTTAGATACAACTGCCACAGGCTAGTTTGCCTTGTATTTTTATACCTTTGCCCTTATCTGACTAAAGTTTTGTTTTGCAGAATAACAGGAATGATGCAAATGCTTTTATAAACCTACAGTTTTCCATAACTTAAAGACCATATTTTAAAAATAAATCAAGATTTGCAGATGGCCTCTATCTTTGTGTACAAATGTAACAAGCATGAGCATTTTTTTGTATGTCTTTCGATTCTGATGAGATGATCAACTTTGTTAAAGAAAACATGAGCTACAGATGTTTTGGGAGTATCTTCAACAATGCCACGTTTCAATTGATTTATTTTTTCTTAGATCAATGTATCCATCCAATTCAAGAATTCCTTTTAGTGTTTTATATATATTTATCTTTCCTGAAACATCATGTAAGGGCCATTTTTGGAAAAACTGGTGAAGAACCTAGAAATTATTCCAATTTAATAACCAAAACACATTTTAACATTTGCAACAATTATTTTAATTAAGAAGTTTGACCTCCTTCACTTTGGCTGCTTGTTTCAAAGACCCAAATGTGTAGAAACTGACTTGATGCAGTCACTGCTGTTCAGAGTAAATCGTTTTTGAAGGCAGTTTCATGTTTGAAATGTGGACAATTTAGTTATGAGACTCCGTTTTTGGTTCATCTCCTTCTCAAGAGGACAAAGCAACATCTTGTTGTTGCTGCAGAATAAGCTTTTATGCATCATTAAGTAACTCCCTATGCTCTTGTTTTGAGTTTGAAAGTATTTTTAATCTTGCTACTGAGTGGCTGACATCAGCATTTTGATGCTCGGGTGAAAGAAGGGGTGGTCATATCAACCTGGTGGGGAAACTCTTATTTACTGCATGGATAGTTTGACAGATAAAAGTTTGCTTCACAAAACACAACTTGGGGCCATCAGTGACTAAACCTAAAGTAACACAAAACTATAAATGATCAGGGGAAAAACTAACAGAAGAAAGTTTATACCTGCTCCAGTTTTCTGCTGAGCGGGTCCAGGTGGGATCCCACCTAACGAGAAGGTCAGAACACTGAGACCTCCGAAGTCTTGGGTGGCGTGTTGGATGGGTCTGGGGAGTCCACCGTCCACCTGGAGGACAGTGGACGAGCCGTTCTTAAACATCCGGAGGATGTGCCACTGGCCGTCCGATAATACAGCGTCTCCCAGAGTCCTCTCCACCTTTCCACCAACACCAGCATCCGAGATGTAGTTGATGTTGCCATTCCTCAACTGAGCAAGAGAACAGAAATAAAGTTTGCTTATGTGTTTCTTGATTGCAAATGTTCCCCTAGTAAAATGAAAAAATTTAGTTTATTTCTACTTTTATTGTGACAGCCCACCCAGCGAGCTAGTGCAGAATGTTACACTTTTTTTTTAAGTGGATTGTTAGTCAGCTAAAGGGAAAGTTCCAGGTTCCTTTCAGCTCATTAACATTGTACAATGTTTAAAAATAATAATAATTACAGAAAATGGGAGACAATTATATCTTTTTAATGTAAAATTTAGGGGTTAATTTTACAAACATAATGAAAGTTGAATTATGAAAAAATGAAGAACTCATTGCAAACATTCACTAGATTTATATTTAGTATTCATGAGCTTACTAGGCAGAATATTGTACTTTTTCTTTATATTGTAAAAAATATATGAGAATAAAATTGTTTTTTTCAATTTTTGTGTACAAAACTTAACACAATAAAACATAATTGAAGATGTTTTTAATACATTAATTTATTGAATTTGTTTTATATTTTCTTATCAAAAGGTAAGAAAAGTTGATAAGAGAGCATAAAAGGCAGATTTGTGGAGTTCTTAAAAGGTCAGAAAGTTTCTCCAAGAATTATTAAAAAAGGCCCACATGTGTATCGTTAAGCTTCATGGGGAGGAGATTTTAGTAAATATCTGTTGTAGAATCAGATAAAAATATAGAGCTTATGTACAAACAGGAATTATTTCTCCCTGTTTGCTCATATATCAGGAAAAGTATTTTTTTTCTCCTGGCATATGAGGATTTTTGTTTCCCAAAGTCCTCAAAACAAAGATTGTATTTCTTAATCTTTTTTAATGTATGACTATGCCACTGCAAAAATAAAAATAAATAAAAGCACATTTATTTTAAGGCTGTATTTGCTCTTGTTACTGTAAAGGAAATAAGCTAAATGACAGTTTTATCAACATGTGAATATAAACATTTAAAAATACCAAAGATAACACAGAGCAAGATAGTCAACAAAATGCTTACTCCCACATTTTGTTCACTGTCAGATAAAATTTAGAAAGAGGCAGCTACATAAACAACAAAACTGCAGCTTCTCAGATTAATGCAATGCGTTGTTATGCCAACATTTATCAGGACTGATGGCACGAAGTCTTTCCTGAGTCTTTACCAAACTGACTCAGGAACGTTAATTTTTCAGGAATATTAATTCCTGAAAAATGCAGTGAAAAATGAATGTTACTTCTCTCATCTCTGTTTTTCAGAGATGAGAAACAAAAATGCAGCTTCATAAATGCTCATTAATCTTTCTCTTGCCAGGACACGCTACGCTCTATCATGTTCTCACGACTTTCATGCTTTTTACTCATGCCGTTCATCTGCAGGACTATCAAAAGCCTGAAAACAAATGAATTCACAGAAAGTGCAATGCTTCATTCTCTGACTTGAGGGAAAAAAGCACACAATGTGTCTTTAAGCAAAATTAATAAGCCTCCTTTGGCATTGACTACGAGTTTGTGGCTTTCTCTGCGAATGGTAATCTCGTGTTCTCCTCACTTCGATGGAAAAGTAATCTTGTTCTCCTCCCTTTACAAAGAACCCAAAAGTCACCCATGATAAGTAGCTTCCGGAAAAATTGATTTAAAATGGGAAAAGCACACCAAGCCAAAGAATACAGAGTTCTCTGAAGCTGGAAAACCGATCATGAGACTTATCTATTAAACATCTTGTTTTTTTCACATCACTGTTTATGTAGTTCTCTTAACTTATATACCTGCACAGTATGCATTCCCACAGAAAGTTTTTTTTTTGTTTGTTTCGTAGTTGTTTTAATACTTTAGAAAGCTGAGATTTGATGAGCACCAGAAGCCATTCTGAGCCGGAAGACCAAATCAGAGCTGAGAAAGCCTCATGTTGCAGTGGGAAGTGGTCGATTGGGCTGAGATGTCTGAAAGGAAAATTGAAGGCGTTGAATGAACGTTCGGGCCTCTTTGGGCAGCAGCCCAAGATCAGTCAGAGAGGGACAGAGGGGAAGAGGAGAGGGCTGAAGGGGAGCTGTCTGAGAAAGACTGGTGGACCTTTCCTAAGCTCAGTCTCTGCTGATGTCTGCTGATGTTTGAATATATTTCTGGTTAGAAACAATTAACCTCAACACAGTGTCAACAATTTTCCTAGTAAGTCTAGACAGCCACATTCTTTTAGAATCAGGAAGTCCTTTGTATTTCTGCAGAACCTTCATGGAAAACAATCTTAACAAGATTTTGATTTGAAATAAAATGCTTACAGTGTTCTTTCTTTAATACTTCCTTAGTTTTAATGTTTTGTTGTTTTATTTTTTAGGAAAGCAATGACCCACAAAAGAGCAGACTGGGCAGTTTTTTTCCATCCATCTAAGCTACTCTGCTAAACCTGCCTTTGAAAAGGTGGTGACGGTGATGATCACTTATTCAAGTACATTTGATTTGAAAAATGTGGTTTTTAGCCAATGCTGTAGAAGCAAAAGGGATAATTTTTGCTTTGGTTTATTAAAAAAATTACAGCATGGAATTTGTTGTGTACCTACTTTGTAATTCACTCTGATAATAGAGCAACTTTAGTGCAATTTTAATTTTGTGCCTTGGAGGCCTTATACTTCCCCCTCATCCTAGTGCCATATTTGTTCTCAAATTTAGTGAACAAAGTCAGCATGTTTGTGCTCTTAGCAGAAAAATGCTGCACCCAGCAACTTTCACAGTTTTCTGTGTGGCCACTGGGCACATTTTAAATAAAAAGTATTTCCAGAAAGGTGTAACTGTGCCGCTTTTGCTATACTTCTATCCCACAGATAAATAACCAACAGATGTCAGACCCAAGTATCAAAGGTGTTATGTTTTTTGTCATGGTTCTTGGCTGATGAACTGTCTTCACTGGCTGAATTGATGAGGATACATGTGAGCTTTAGGGCTCGCTGTGCTTGGTTTGGCATAGCATCACCAAGACTTTACCTTTCAGTACTTTCCCAGCTCAATAAACCCAGTATTTTTCTACAGTCTGTGATCGCTTTCCGTTTTATGCTGCATCCCACAAGCCTGGTCGTAACAATAAAAGACTGCTGGTTCAGGATTTAAAACTTTTAGCTCATCGTTGGAACACACAGGCTGAAACGTCAATTTGTAGGAGCCAGAACTGGGATTTTACTGGTAAAAATGTGCTTTATCTCTGCTTTGTATTGCAAAGCTATTGAGTGTGAGATCACTTTTTTGATGAGGTGCGGGGATGAGAGGACTGGTGAAGCATGCAAACTTTTATCTGGAGATATACTCCTAGATTTCTACCATTCATTGCCTCAACTGGGTGAAAATCTGAACTTAGAGGTACAACAGAGTTGAGAAGTACAAAATGACATCTAGGCTTATGAAAAACAGACCTTTTTATTGCTTCTTTCCTTACCTTAACAGTGGTGTAGTTGCTGCTTTCCTGAATGTGCAACAGAGTGCCAGTCTTGCTCCGTGTCCTAAACTTCACTTCCAGGCTGCTCGGGCTGATCCAGTTGGACGCCACGCCCTGGAGCGACTGTCTGAGCAGGACGTCACGTTTGGGTCCCTGCTTCAGTGTGTAGTCGAGGCGGCCAGTGCCATCCAGAGACAGTGCAGTGTCTGCTGTCATGTCTGCAGGAAAAAGACATAAATTACTGAAGAGTCTCTGCTGACATTACAGACGTTTCATATGCCAAGTGAAAATTTCCTCTTTGCTCTCGGCAGGCTGTGGGTAACGAATTATTTTCCCAATTCCTCAGCTACAGCCACATATTTATCCCCATACTCTCACCAGCCATTTCGAATATCCTTCTAGTATGTGAGGGAATCCCCAGAACAGACAATTTGTCTTTGAGTAACATATTAAATCCTCACATAGAACCGGGGCTTATAGAAAGAACCGTACCAAAAGGCCTGAAATGTGAATAGAATCCCCAAAACCTAATGCAATACAAATAATGTATGTGTTTACTAACATTTTAAACCATTAAGTGTATGGTATGATTTCATATTCCAAAGCCCTCTAATACCTGTACTTCAGCCAAATATGAGTTTAACAAACACAATATAAACCTTGAAGCGCTCATATGGTCAGCATGTGCAGCTGACAATCTGAGAAATTAAAACTCAAAACTACATGTCTGTATATGACAAGGATTGAAATGTAAAGTGCAATCAGTTGTCATTCAAAATGTTTTACTTTGACCTAATGACCTTTTCTTTTTTGTCATTTAAAACAACAAAAATGTGTTTTAGTTCTCACTGGGATATGTTTGGAGGAGATTGACAACAACCATGAACATACAGCCAGGCCCACAATGGTTTTGATGTGTCAAAATGGTCAAGTCAAACTAGAACTAAAGAGGAAAATGTCTAGATGTGTGTCTTATAAATTTATTTCAATATTAGAGTATTTTTCCCATTTTTTTTTGTTGCAAATGTTTGATTTTATAATCTTACTAAACTTCAAAGTGTTTTCCATTAAAATTTATGACTTACAATGTCAGAGAATATCCTGGTTTTGAGGGTTTTCTAAAGTTTTGGATGGGGGTAGAGAGGACTGGAAGTCTTTCTTCCCTAAATGGGGCTACAGCATAAAAGGTGCTTCATGTTTTACACTAATAAAAACCTCCATGAGGCCACAAAAGGCCTCAGTGAGTCGCTTCTCATTCTACGATGACCGGAGGAGGAACTGTTCTGGTTCTGATTAGTGGTATAATTTTTCTCCTAATCTGTCATTGCAGACTCTAGATCTCCTCTACAGCATTTTTTTGCACATGACTGCGCTTGGATTAGAAAAACATGGCTCTGTTTTTGCACGCTGTAAAGTGAACCAGCAGATTTCCCACCAAATTGAACCTGATGGCAAACACACAATTGTTTCCAGTTTTCTCAGTAACGTTACTATTTGTTTCCAGTAAGAATATGTAATCCACAGAACTGATGTGTACTATTGCTTCACCAATTTGACTTTACGGAAATATACAGGAAAATGAAGGCAGTTTTATTGGTGGGCATTTTTATGAGTCATGGAGGATCGATCATATAGAATTGAGAAAATTAAATTTTCAAAAGACAGATACTTACACTTTTCGCAGAATTTTCCTGTAAAACCATCCACACACTGACACTGCTGCCAAGACCAGTGGTCCAAACAGGTGCCCCCATGTCTGCAGGGGCTGGCGGTGCAGGCTCCTTCCAGTCTTGGGCATCTATAGACACACAGCCATGCAAAATCCCTACAATCAGACGGGCACTTTGACAACTCAGCCTCACAGTAAGAAGCCTGGGGCTCTGCTGGAAAAGAAACTCCAAAAACAGGAGCAGATGAGCTTTGATTTGTCTCCCAAAGCAGCAGTACAAAAACTATTAAAGAACCCCGGTGGATTAGCATATTAAAAGATCTGCTTTTGCCTCACCATTCACTGCTGAGATAGAAGAGAAAATATTCAGCAATTGCCTTTCCTTAGTCAAAGGTCTGCCATTTGTGGTTTAAAAAAACCCATCTTTTTAGAAACTCTTGGGAGGATTTGAAAGTGTGAACAGATGTCCCACAGCGGGAGCTGAGTAGGTTAGAGAAGATGGTTGGATGGAGAATAGATAGAAAAATGGAGACAGTGAAGATATGTGGGAGCCGGAGGATTTGTGCTGCGAACCTGTCAAGGATGCCACGCGATGCCAGGGCCTGACTGGGCTCCAGCGGGCGACCATTGACGGCAAGCTCCATGATGCAGCCGACAAAGTCATGGGTGGCGATCTGACCCCGGCGATGAAGGATGGGTTCTATCGACCTGACGCCGCCGACCGAGAGCCGGTTGGGCTGCACGTCCAAAATCCTGAAAATACAGGCACACGAACATGCTCACAGTCAGATGCATTGTAGTGAAGGTTTTCACATGCACAACACTTTCATAAAAAGATGCTTTGAGTCAGAGAGTTTCAAATAATATGTTGACTTTTTTATACTCACTTCCACACAAACACAAACAAAAACAAAAAAAAACATGCAGTCTCAAAAATGTGGCTCAGAAATAACAGAAAAACCAAAACTTTTCATCTCGCAGCAATTTCATATTTCCTGAGTTTTTCTGCAATGAGGCTCATACGTGCAAATTTCAGATCCCACTAAGCAAATACAATAAGAAGGAAGATCAATCTACTTTTATTTAGTTCTGCATTAATTGATACATCAGTTTTTTCTATTTTGTAAGGTGTTGTCATAGTGTTCTCTCTGTTTAACTGTGGAAAACCACAAATTTATTATAAGTCATGCAATGGTTCTACAAAGAAAGAGCCATGCAAACCACTGCTAAAGACAACAAATAAAATCTTAGGATTGTTTGACTGCTGGAGCACAGAAAAGAACCAACAATCACCACAACAGCTTTAAAAAATACAACATTTTTTTGCCACAGCACATAAATTATGAGCAACATTTTCTTATTTACATTTAGATCAGTTAAATAATCAGCTGCTGTACGCATGTGTGTGTGTGTGATTCTCATACCAGTCAGTGTGAACAGCCACGTTGCTAACGGCACAATATCCTGGTTCCTGATCCTCACCGCACAGATCCACAGTAAGCGATGCTGCCTGTAAAATGACAAGAAACAAAAAGAAGCTAAAACATTGAAAGAATTATGACCAAGGATGAACCTAAATATTCCTACAAACTATTCCTGACACACAACTTTATCTTTCCCAGCTTCACTTAAGTATTCCCTGGGGGAGCCAATCCACCCAATAAAAGTCTTGTAAAAGTATTTATTCCTCTGTTTCTCACATTTTGTCCCCAAAAACACAAACTTCAGCATGATTTTTATAGTTTTTCTTTAAAAAAGGGGGAAAAATAGCCAAACTTGTAAAGTGAAAATCTTACAAAACTATGGCAAACATTTGTAATCACCCTCCCTGTATCAATGCTTTGCAGAGCCCATATTTTGCTGCAATTACAGCTGAAGTGCTAAGGGTATCTGTCAGTTTTTAGATTGTTGTCCATTATTTATTATAAAATAGCTCAAGCTCAGTCAGACCAGATATAAAGCATCTGTGAACATCAGTTTTTAAGTCCTGCAAGAGATCCCAAATTGGATTTAGCTTTTCACTTCAACATGAAGATACATTTTTTATTTAGCTCCTTTCAATTTTCTATCAGTTCTGACCAGCTTCCCTGCTATTACTGAAGAAAGATTTTTTTTTTCTGTCATCCTTTCTGCAGATCAAGTAGATATAAATATGATCTTTAGATAAAAATACAGGCTTTTGTGAAGAAAACAATGGCACCATGACAAACAATTTAAAATCTTTCCCTCTTTTGATATGTATTTATCCAAACAATTCAGCTGAAATCTGTTCGGGGGGAAAATATATAAGTACAATGTTGCAATAAATTGGTAGGAAATACAATGAAGCACACTTCTTTAGAATAGTTCAATAACATGCAACTTTGGTGTGTATGTTCTCATGCAGTTAGATTTCTTCCTCCAGTTCAACAGCATGCATGTTAAGATTAATTGGAGTTTTTAAATTGGCCGTAGACGTTAGCTTGAGCATTCCTGGTCGTCCATCTTTTATTTTTTTTTTTTTGTCCACTGATGGACAAATTGGCTGTTCAGGGAGTAGCTCTCCTCTCACCAAGAGGCATCTGGGATGGGGGTCCAAGACCCCCTGCTAACCTCCACAGGATTGATAAGGTGCCGCTAACAGGATAGATGCAGAACATACTCCAGTGTTAACTGATTAGATGTAACATGTCCTCTGTGCCCAATTACCTTACTTATTTCTACAGGCCAATCAAAATATTCAGTACAAGAATAAGCAGATTTATTCCCCTCTTTATTGTGATTAACTTTTAAAAATGATTCACTAAACAAACAAAACTTGTGCTGCTTAAACAGCTGTTAACATTTTTCAACAAAGTGATTATTTAATGTTTTGTAAAGAGTTAGGTGAGAAGATCCAAAATTACTTCTGAGCTCTATGTTGTAAAAATACACCATCTGATTGCAGACAGAAGTGGTTTATTTTAGTTTGGTAGGCAGATGAGAAGCAGAACTGCTGTTGGGAGAAAAACCTAAGAGCAATATCAACTCTTCTTCTAAAAAAAATTAAAAATAAATGCTCCTTCAAATTTGCCTTAAAACAACCACAGATTAGGCATGAGTTTGGCATAACCTGAAATACAATAACAACAAATTGCGGCATACAGATGCACCAGAACCAATTAAAGGGTTAAGGTTAGTGTAACTACCTTACTGCCTTTCAAACCTGGTTTGACTTCATCTCAAAGATGGATGGATGATAAAACAACCCATCCGTAAGTCAGAGGCAGGTTCTCCATCAATCCATCTTCCTCCACTCATAATGCCAGATTGTTGGAGCAAAGTTGACATCAAACATTTCCACAAACACAATCCTATTTGGTTTTCTGATGTGTTATCTCTCCCTGAAACATTAGTGTAAAACATCCCAAGTCCTTTGTGTGCACAACATCATACAACCCCTATTCACCTGTGAATGTGGAAGTGATTGGAACAGCCTTCCATTAATTTGGAGGGATTCTCAATAGTCACAATAAAATCCAAGGACAAAATTATTTCATAACGCTTAAACATCTGTGTTTCTGACTACTTATTTCAGTAGATTAACTTCAGGTTTTATAAACTAATTATTTGTTCTACTGCTATAAATGTCTTTAATTCTGCATGTTGAGGTCTGAGTATGACCTCAGTCCTTCACAATGCACATAGACCAACAAAAACATTTTATGATTTGATTCATACATGTGATAAGAGTGGCACAAAAATGCCAAACATTTTTCTGTTTCCCTACAGTTTCCTGTTTTCCTGTCAATGCCAGTAAAGCATTCGCCCAGATGTGTGTTGTTGTTTCTGCGTTCTGATGTCGGGAACGAGCCCAGGAGGAAGAAACGAAATGTGCCGGTGAGGAAACTGTCCGGAAAAGTGTGTGAAAGTGTTGAAAAACTGGAGCAATCACGCTCCACCTCTCCTGGAGTTTAAGTAAACACGGACCGCACCGGCCCGGATCTCTGACACAAATCATCCCCGCAGGGCAAACATACACACACGCAAAATGTCTATTCAATCAAACACACACATGGACACAGTCAGTCTGCAGAGAGGTAAAAGAACATTCATGGATGCTTTTTCTTCAAAATAATAAAAAATAAACAACATTTGAAATTAGGAGCAAATGCAGATAAAAATATGAAGGCTGTTTTTTGTGTTCTGCTGACACTGATTTAAAACTGCTGACAAAGTTGTATTGTTTTCCTCTGCCAAATTTAACAGAGCAACCACAGTTTAGTATTGTGCCTTTGCTGTTCTACATCTGCTTTCCCACTTTTATTAGGACAAATAATTCACTTAATCAAAAGCTTGTTGTTCATGCTTTTTGACAGTTTCCAAAACTAAACTGTCACACTTCATTTTCAATCGGCCTTAAAAAACATTTTAAGTTTTCTTGAACTGAAAACAAACTGTTCTTGCTTTTATCAACTTGTTTCTGTCCCCCCTACTGTCAAGTAATCAGCCAGTCAGCGTTTTTACATTTGTAATTCTATCCAAACTTTGCCTGTTATCTTTCTACTTTTTCCAAAGACTTTCATTAGATATTTAAACTGGTATTCATTGTGAACACGTTGTGAATAATGACTTAGATTATAATTAACAGACAAATCTGATCATTTTGAGGAAACATCTAGCTAAGAGTTAAAATTTTTTTGTATCTTCACTAAGAAGCTGAGATGCGTTAATAGACAACCAGAAATGTTAATATTTTTTAAAAGTTGAGAACCACATTCTAAAATTATGGTAAGAAATTTCTCCACCAGCTTCACCTTTTTTCAATGCAAGAAATAAAATTGCTGATGCATCATTTGAAATCAAATTTAAACACATCTTTTATTATTTTATATGATTTTATGCGTTTCAGGAGAATTTGAAAACATTTCTGCTTGCAGACATGATGCTTATAGTCTTGATTTCAACACCGTATATGACCTCTGAGCTCTGTCTGATCACTCTGAAACTTCAAAGAGAAGTCTGTGATTTCTGCCTGTTTTTGACATCATAACTCAGGAACAGGAACTGGAAACTAACCTGATGCCCGACCACAGAAACGACCCGCATCAACTTCTGCAAACATGGCCATCAGCATCACTTTACGGTGCCTTGGAGACCCGGCGTTACAATCCTGACATTTCTCACTCACTCTTCAAGAGAACAAACACCTCAATTTTCACAGACTCACAGTTCTCAATATGGGCCGTATTCCTTTCCAGGCCATCACTCTGCAACATTTCAAAACTGACAATTTAACGATTTTACCGGCTTCCTATGAAACCCCACTGCACTGCTGGAAACGACAGATCTAAAGTCCAGCAGCAGCAAACGTTAGGAGAAACCTGACAGAACCCACTTTGACTTCTTTACCCTCTTTTTGCCACTGTGCTGTTGGCATTGAGAAGACACTCATTCAGAGCCCAGGAGACAATTTTCATTTTTCAGGGCCATTTTGAATCCTGGTATTATAAATCTCAGCAACCAGTAATATGTAATAACATGCTATAAAAACTATAAGCTGAGCCATCACTGGTTTGGGGCTTCAATTATCATTTTCAGAGAGTAAAGCCAAATGTGAGTACAGGTTTAAGCTGTAAAAGATCAGGACATTGACATTGTTGACTACAGTTCTTTCAGTTTTATCACTGTTTTGGTGACTCGAAGCTAATAGTGATCATAAAGCTGCACTAAGAAATGCCTCTTACCATCCCAGCTCTCCTGGCGATGACTGTGTGGAACTGGCCGTCTGAAACTTTAATCATGGTCATAAGTTTGTAGGTCCCACTGCCCAGGTTGAAGGAAAAACGCAATCTGCCCTCAAAGATCTCCAACGCCAGGAACTCAGCCTTGTCACCCGTCTGATTGTCGTGGTTGTACATCAGCAGGGCGTTGCTCATCAGAGTGGCAAACTTGATGTAGATATAGTTATTGTTGGGATCCAGAGTGGGAAACTCCATGTAGGAGAGCTCCTCAAAACCATAGCTGTTCAGTTCACAGTGTTTGCCAAAAACACCTGAGGAAAACATAGACAACAGATGACTGGTTCAAATTCAAAATCTACAGAAATTTACAGACCAAAATGTTGTGCTTACACTACATTAAGCAAATCATCATCTTCCAAGATGTTTTGGCTTTTAAGGAAAACAAAAAGTACAGAGCATGAAAAATGAAGATGGTGGCAGCATTTGCTTAGGAATCTAGGGTTTTAGAACAACATTTATCTTGCTTTCTTTTGTTTTTCCTGTAGCTTTCCTTTCATTACTTACCAAACGGACAGTGACAGTAATATCCATCCAACCGATTCTGACAGGAGCCGCCATTAAAACAAGGGTTACACTCACAGTGATTGATGATGGAGTCACACGTTTTGCCTGAGTTCACAGAACAACACAAATTAAAATGGATGGTGTGGTGAACAACACAATACAAATGCAGAAAACTGAGTTATGGAGGCCTTTCATGACACCAAAAATGTTTCTGGCACAGCTTCACTGACTTCCAAGATGCATGGAGAAGTTCAAAGATCTGATGAAGAGAAGACTCCAGTAAGACTTGAAGTGCTAAGAAACAACTTTAGTAGACCAACGTGGCCTTCAATGACCCTGACGAAGGCCACAAGCTGAAATGTGCAGGTCTAATAAAGTTGTTTCTAAGCACTTAAAGTGTTGCTGTGTTCTTCATCTTATCATATCCTTCATGACAGCACAGCTGAGAACTGCTCTGCAACACAAATATATTTTTACCATTTAGTCACCCTTATGTTGCTGTCTATTGTAATGGGAAAGTAAAAGAAAGTATGTCCACCTTAATTTCTAGAAAAGTTACAAGGCCTTAATTTCTCTAGGAAAGTTACAAGGCCTTAATTTCTAGGAAAGTTACAATGGCACTAACCATACAATTGGAAAACAAAGTTGAAGACAAAATGAAAATGCTCTTCCTTACAGAAAAAGTGACGTGTCATTGCTAATGTCTTTCTGTCTTGGCATTGTGCTAACACATACCTGTGTGCCGCAAATCAGCAATAGAGTTGTACATGTAAATGCTTGCTTTTAGAATTGTTCACAATAATAAATCAAGCTGACTGATTGGCAACACATCACTGTTACTTTTGCTTTTAACAGCAAAGGTGTACTTAGTTTTACATACACTGCTTTCCCATTTTGGCTTCACCATTGTTTAAAAGGTTAATGGGGAATCTGTTGCATGTTTTGTACAACACAAGTTGAGGTTTAATGATCAGCACATTTTAAAACGCCCTGCTTAATAAAACCCTTGTTCTAATGTTTCTAAGGCTGAATTTCACCTCTAAGGTGGAATTTCAATTATTTATGAAATTGTTAATGTAATTTCATAAACAACAAACTTCATTAGGGAAAGCCAAATGATCTCATTGAGTGGAGAACACTCAGGCTTAACAACCTAGTGCAAGCTGTTTTTTTGGCTATTTATTGCAGTGCAGACAGACAAACGGCTGAAATGTACATGGATGGCTGCCACAGATGCAAGCAAAGGTTTAACATCTTGATAAGGAATGTGACAGTGATAATAAAAACAATAGACAGAAATGATGCGTGGCACATGGTACAAAAGAAACAAACTGACTGTGAACTCTGGGAGTAAATTTAATGCTGTAAATCCTGAGACATGTTGCTTAATGGAGATGGATTTAGCTGCCAAAATCCAGTTGTGGAGTACAGGAAGTTAAGAGTTCAAAGGGAGGGCACAAAACTACTGTAGGTCACTAAGTTCATTTCTGAATGAGAGTAGTCCATCTTGATAAAACTTCTAGATTTGTGGCCATTTTTTATCGTCATAATAAAAAGGGACAGTAATGACTTCACTTTGGGCAAAGCGCCTGCACAGAATGCTTTCAAAATGTCTTTCAGATGCTGCAGCAAGAGGTTAAACATCACACAGGATCCAAATGGCTGTTCAAACTATTTCCACTTAAAATCCACTCCCCTTTAATTCAGGCCAATAATGCACTGTGTTCATTACATTTCCAAATTAAGAAGCCTGATTGGATCTTTTATAAAGCTTCTCATTTGTCAAATAACTCATAATGAAGCCAAATAAAAAATCCATGATGAGAAAATCTCTCTTTGTGTAATTTGGTCAGAGAAGAAATCCTTGTGTCTGTGTGTGGTCAGAACTGCCAGTGCATGAAGGCACAAATGGAAATGAAACACCAGCAAACTGTATTTGTGGCGAAGACTGGATCTCTGACAAAGGTCAGCTTTGTATCATCCTTTTTTATTAAAGCAAACACTGCAGGCTGATATGAATCACAGCTGATACTCCCCAACTAGAAACCAAAATAAGTGACTACGACATCTACTGGAAACAATAAGAAGCAAATATTTTGAATGTGGGTGACCATACTAAAGATATACAGTGCTTTGCAAAAGTATCCACACCTTTGTATGTTTTTCGCACTATCATAGCCTAGCCACCTACTCCAGTACATTTTATTTATTTTCTATATCACAGATCACAATAAAGTTGTTTATTTTAAAGGACATTATGACTATTCACTTTGTGTTGTTTGAATAATTTGTGGTTACATTTTATTTTGTGAAATAAATTGTTCCTTTTGACAGCTATGGTTTCTTTATAGGATGACTGCTCTAGTAATGTATTAACAATTCATTAGTTGTCTCATTGTGTTCATTAAAATTGGTTTACAAATTGACTTGAAATAAAAATCAACATCTTTCAACACAAATATTAAGCCTTATTTTTGACAAATCAAAATCTGAAAAGTGTGGCATGGATTTTCATTTACAATGCTACAATTACAACTGCAAATCGTTTTTGGTATCCCTCACTCAGTTTTGTATATCTTCATATTCAAATATACTTTTCTGAGTATCAGACTGAAATAGGTAGGGAAAGAAAAAAGTCTTACTTTAAATCATACATATTTTTTTCTTTTATTTCACCATAATGCTGTATTTTCTATGGGACATAAAATTGGAATAACATATAAAGAGTGATATTGTTTTGACGTATAAATGTGAAAACAGTCAAAGGGTACGAATACTTCTGTAAACAGCTGGAAAAGACACAAAAAGTGACCTCTGTGTGATTAATACCTGCAAACCCAGACTTGCAGAGGCAGTTGAAGCCACCGGGGAAGTTCTGGCACAGCGCCCCATTCTTGCAGGGATTGGAAAGGCATTCGTTGACATCCCTCTCACAGGCCATACCGGTGAATCCCTCAGGACAGGTGCAGGAAAACCCCCCAACCAGATTGTGGCAGGTGCCACCATTGTGGCAAGGCGATGGCTGGCACTCGTCAATGTCCATCTCACACAGGGCTCCTGCGTATCCCGGCCTGCAGCCGCAGGCATACGGCTGCAGGGGGTGGTTGGAAACGAGGATCACAGGGACACTTTCTTCTGTCTTCATATCAGGCCCGACACTGAGACGCCGCTTGCAGCTGCCTCCGTTCTGGCATGGATTGTGCGTGCATGGATCATGGTCTACTGCATCTATTTGCACCCCACTCTGTCTGTATAAAATGTCTTTGATACTCTGAAAGAATGTGGCCACGCCGCTGGGGTTCACGTATTGTCCATGGCCCCGTTTCACAGCTGCCATCAGGAAAGTCTGATTGTTGAGCTCAAATGCTCCATAAAGCAGCACCCCTGTGCCTAGTCCTGCTAGCTGAGAGTTGGCAATGCGTAAGAAGCTGAGGTAGTGATTGGTGAGAAAGCTTTTGACTCCATCAGAGTGCAGTCTGATGAGGATGCTATTGTCTACAGTGGCATTGTTGAAACCCATAAAGAAAACTTTGGCTGTGCTACTAACCGATCCATGGACACCATCACTGCTGCGAATGGTTAGTTCAAATGTTCCGTCTGTTGAGCGGGCTTTAGAGTTGAGGTTACATGTTCCTGTTGGGATAGCAAACAGACCAGATGATGGAGGAATAAGGGAGCAGTGGAACCGATCATGGATGTCAGGATCTTGAGGTCTAACATCTCCCAAAGAACCTCCAGAAAATGTGTTTCCGAAATAGTGGACATAGATTTCCATGGACCGTGACTCTGAAGGGTTGTCATTCTGATCATTTATCTTAACATGAACCGTTCCAGTGGAGGACATCTGAGGCACACCAGAGTCCTTGATCACCACATAGAGATAGAAGTCACTAATCTGTTCTCTGTCAATCTCCCGGCTGGTGGTCAGGATACCAGCTGAACTGAGACTGAAGTAGCTGTTGGCAGAGCCAGAACTCAGAAGACTGTAGAGGAAAGGGCCCTGGTTGGGAGGTAGATCCAGATCTGAGGATGTCAGGGTTGTGACTGAAGAGCCTGCTCTCTGGTTCTCCATCACCTCAGTGTAGGTGGTCATCAATGTTGGACCGTTGTCATTGATGTCTTCCAAATTCACAATGATGGTCGCGCTTCCGGTGGCAGGAGGTGTGCCCGTGTCAACTGCAAGAACTGTCAGATTATAGACAGGAGTTGTTTCTCTGTCCAGCTGCGCAGCTACAGACACCTGACCTGTTTTTGGATTTATTGTAAACACATTTTTGTTGAGCTCAGGATCAATGGAGTAAGAAAACCTGCTCCAACTGGGGACAGAGTCTGAATCCTCAGCACTTACAAAGGTGACAAGCCCACCAGGGGGTAGACCTTCACTGACCTGCACGTCGTACAGGTCTTGGGTAAAAACAGGGGGATCATTGGCATCAAGAATAGTGATATTAACAAACACTTCATCAATATCTGCCCCATGGATGCTTCCTGCATTCTTTGCCAACACTTTCAGGGAAACCTTTTCTTCTTTCTCACGGTCCAGAGAACCTGTGACATAAATCTGACCAGTCTTCTTGTTGATGCCAAAACCTTTCTTTCTGCTTCTTCCAAATATGAGATAATAAACCACTCCATCCTCTCCCTGGTCCCGATCACTGGCGAACACTTCCCCGACAACTGTGCCTCTTGGAGCAGCTTCTGAGATCTCAAAGTAGTACTGTTTGGAAACAAAGCGAGGAACGTATTCGTTGGCTCCCTTAAGCTGGATGTTGATGTTGGCGAAGCTGCAGCGCTCCTCATCAGGGACATTGAAAGCCTTCACTGTTAAATGGTAAACCTGCTTTGCCTCGTAGTCCAAAAATCCCTGGGTGGTGATAGTGCCCGTGTTTGGGTCGATAACAAACAGATCGCTATCTGATGACTGAATCACATACGCCATGACAGCGTTTAATCCTGAATCCCGATCTGTAGCATTCATTTTGAGCACAGTGGTGCCACTGGGGACGTTCTCCTGCACAGATGGGAAATACTCATCGGGATCGAAAACAGGAGGGTTGTCGTTTACATCAGTAACTTGTACTGTGACTGAGACATAACTTGATTTTGCAATCCAGCCACCATCAGTAGCTGAAACTCTTAGTTCATGTTGGTGCTGCTCTTCATAGTCTAAAGAATTAGCTAAGGATAACACACCAGTTTTACTGTTCAATGTAAACAAACCCTTATCATTGCCTGAGGTTATACTGTAAGTGATAAGGCCGTTCATTTCTTTGTCTTTGTCTCTGGCAGAGAGAGTTCTGATTGCTGTTCCCACAGCGAGGCTTTCAGGTACTGTGGCTGAAATTTGGCTTTGTGAGAACTCTGGTGTGTGATGGTTTTCTTCTGTCACTACAATTCTCGCTGTTGTTTGTGCAGACAAGGGAGGATTTCCTTTGTCCCTCGCAGTGATGTCAATGAGGAAAATCTTATTTATATCAGACGTGAGGGAAGCAGCAACTGTAATCCACCCACTTATTTTGTCTAGTTTGAATTTACTGGAGCTGTTCCCTCCTGTTATCAGGTACTCAACCTCAGAGTTAAGGCCAAAATCTTTCTTATCATAAGCTGTGATTTTTATTAGTCTGGTGCCAACTTTGACACTTTTAGTGACGGGAGTGAAGTAAGTGGTTGAATCAAACTCAGGAGGGTTATCATTACTGTCTACTATATTTACAATCACTGTTGTTTCACTCATTAAAGGCTTCACTGCTCGGTCTGAGGCTGTCACAATGAAGCTGTGCCGGTTTATATTTACACTGGCAGCACCAGTTGAGTTCTGATACTTTAACTGCTGCTTGATGAACACATCTCCAGAGCTGGCATTGATTCTGAAGTACTCTGACTGGGATCGAATGAAGTAGAAAATTTTGCCATTGACTCCCTCGTCTGGATCTGTGGCCAAGACCTGTGTGACCAGAGAACCAACCTCTGTGAGCTCCGGGTAGTCCAAGTAATAAGATGGACGGCTGAACCTGGGAGCGTTGTCGTTAATGTCTGTTATAAATATTGTTACGTCTGTGCTTACTGTCCAGCCAGAGTCATGAGCAGACACTTTAATGATGTAGTGATCTGTGTCTTCTCTATTAAGTGGCCTGCTGATAGTTATGTCCCCTGTGCTTGGATTAATACTGAATGGAAGGCTGCCATCTGTAACAGAGTAGCGGCTAACGGCGTTTGAACCTGCATCTTCGTCTGTGGTTGTGACTCTGGTAACGGTGAAGCCAACAGGGGCATTTTCAGCCACTGTTGCACTGAATATCTTGGAAAACCTGGGAGCATTATCGTTCACATCCAGCACATTAATTAGCACCTTAACTGCTGTGTTTTTTGGTGGTGAACCTCGATCAGTGGCTTTCACTTTTAGTGCATAAAGCGCTACTTTCTCTCGGTCCAGTGGCCTAGTGGTTCGTATTTCACCAGTGGCTCGGTTGATGCTGAAACTGTTCTCCTTGTTGCCCTCGATTATAGCATATTCCAGCTGTCCATTATTGCCACTGTCCAAGTCAACGGCGGTGACCATCAGGACACGCTGTGGTGATAGGTTCTCCAGTATCTCAGCATGAAAGGGATCCTTATCAAACACTGGGTGGTTGTCATTCACATCCAGAACATTTATTTCTACTTTCTCATATGAAGAATAAGGGGGGAAACCCTGATCTCTGGCTTCAATCCATAAAACGTATTTGGAAATGTGCTCGTAATCCAGCGGATGTCTGATGGATAACTCGCCTGAGAGCTGATCTATGTGAAAGGCATAATCAAGGTTGCCACTTGCTATGTAGTATGACAATGGTCCACCCCTCATAGAAGACCCTGTCACTGTTGTGACAATGTGGTTGGTAGGTTGATTCTCCAGAAAAGTAAACGCCCGCTCCTTCAGCTTGATGATGGGAAAGTTTCCTCCCGTAACAAATCGCACTGTCACTGTGGTCGTATCCATTTTTGGGTTAGCTCCACCGTCCTTTACGCGAACTGTCAGGGTAACCTCTGAACTTCCAGATAGCCTCTCATTGGCAGTGATGGCGCCTCTTACTGGATCGATCTTGAACTTCTCTGAGTTCCGACCATCAAGGAATAGTGCAGCTGGGCATTAGAGCCGGAGTCCTCATCAGTGACGGTAACAGCAAAAACCAGGGACCCTGAAGACAAAAAAAAGAAAAAAATATATAAATATATATGTTTAACCCTAACAAACAAATGAAACATCAACAGAGGAGAATGAAAGTTTAAATTCTTGTAAATATGGGTACCAATGCATAAGCAATACAGCCACTTGATCATTGTTGAAAATTCTTTAACATAATTTTCATGTCTCACCCTCTCCAACAGTTTATTTAAAAATAATACAAAATAGATGTAATTAATCTCATAAAAAATACAATTAAATACATTCTACATAGTTATTTGTTATTTAGCAATAAGACTGAAGAAATAAAGTTCTTGGAATTCCATTGCTCAGTCTTACCTGGGATTAGAAATGTCATTGAAAGTTTAAACGAGCCGAGGAAAGTTGGACTGTATATTGCTGAATAAGCATTTAAAACCTATTATGTTGTTACAGTACTTGAATATTTATGATTTCCCCACAGAATGTTTAGCTTGAAACATATTCCAAAACATTCTGAAACTTCTTATTTTAAAATGTTCAAATGTTCACAGGTTCTTCTCTACATGTGCAGTTTATACATAAAAATAGAGGGACTATTGTCCACTTTCACTCATTGTATTCAATGCAAAAAGACTTCCAGGCTTCGTTTAAATCTTGTGGGAAGAATGCATTAAACCAAACTAAAGTAATTCACTCCCTTTGTGTTTCAGCATTTTTTTTCTCCTTTAAACTTGCAATTATAGGGTCTGATTGTAGCTCATTTACAAAACGCAATAAAAGCTTCAAAGTTTGCATGCATGGCCACTAGAAGCATTTGCCACTTAGGGTTCCTCTAACTTTCTGTTAATGTTCTCAGATAAACATCAACAGACATGTTAATGTGCGTCTATGCAATGAACATGTCGCATAACAAAGACCTTTTACCCTCCATGTGAAGGTCATCCATGACTACAGGACGACTGGAAATATAGCAATCTCCCTCGTGATTGTGTATATAAGATTTATGTAGTAAATATCTTTGTTTTGGTCTAATGTTTTGAGAAACTGAATTTCACATTTTCATTTTCAGCTACAATCTTTTGACTTAAATTTCTGAAATATATTATATTTTTAGTGATAGATTATTTTTATAACCATGTCAACCAGATTTGAGGAGCAAACAGATGTACCAGGTGAACAGTGTAATATTTTAGAGCCCCTAACTAACCTGTTGCAGTGGAGGCAGGGATGTGGGTCACGTAGGGGTGATGATGGAAGCGTGGAGGATTGTCATTGATGTCGGCCACCGTCACGGACACGGTGGCGGAGCTCGACAAGCCCTGGGGCTGCCCTCCATCTGTCGCAACAACCAGCAGCTGGTAATTGTCCCTCTCCTCTCGGTCCAGGAGAGAGCTGGTAATAATCTGCCCTGTTGCAGGGTTGATAGAGAACTGGCCATGTCCCCCACTTAGACTGTAGCTGTAGAAAACAAAAATATCAGATATCAGCTGTAATAGTATCATGTTTACTAGCAAAACACCTATTCGCTTCTGAATTGTGGAGTTGCTTTGGGTTTTAATTATGTGTTAAAATGAGTTATGACAGGTCAAATATTTCAATTAAAAGAGATATTATGTATAACCGGTTGACTGAATCAAGTTAAATACTATACATAAGCATCCAGTCACATCAGATACAGATACAGTTTCTGATTTATTGTTCAAGGAGTCACAATAAGTTCAGAGTGTTTTTTTGAACAAATCTATTGTGAAAAGCACTTGCCCCATGACAAAGTTCTCATGTTTTTATGTCATACCTAAATCTTCTTGAATCTCAAAATAAATTTTAGTACAAATGTAACCTGAGTAAACAGAAAATAGTTTTTATATAATGATTCCCCATATTATGGGAAAAAACTATCCGAACCAGGCCCTATGCTGCCCTTCCTATATCATGAATTAACAGTTATCGATCACATTTTGAGACTACTTCACTAGCCATACCAAGGCTCAGTTACTGTCCTGTAGAAGTTAACATGTCTGTCAACATAAAGTAGCCTCAAAGGCTCAAAAAGTAACATCTTATGCTTTGTAATGAAGAAATTCAAAAACAAATGAGAAAAAAAATCATGGATATCTGTCAGTAGTAAGGGTTACAAAGCCTACTAAGGCATTGGTATTCCAGCAAACCACAGTGGAAACATTGATGAATCATGCCAGGAGTTGCCAGGCAACTAAAATTACTCAAAAAGCACATTAACAACTCGCCAAGAAGGTTGTGGAAGAAACTAGAACAACATTTTTAACCGCAACAAACCTCATCTGCCTTAGGTAAGAGTTAATGGAAAATAGCATCTTGGGAAAGTTTCCAAGTGCAAACCACATTGCCAACCCCCCCGAACTATGATGACCCACAAGATTTGGCAAAATACAGACAAAAGAGGAACTAATTGGAAGTTTGATCTAAAACCACTGCAAAACAAAACAGCAAGTTTTTCAGCAATGGCTAAAATAAAATAAAGGTTCAGAGTGGCCTAGTCAAAGACAGGACTTAGATCTAATTGAGGCATATTGGTGTGAGTTTAATTTGACCATTAATGCTTAAAAACCATCTCATTGCTCATTCATAGTTATTACACTGTATTCCAGCTGCCTTCACAAATTAATAGGTTTAGAAAGCAAATACTTCCAGCTCAATTTGGATATATAAAATCATTTTGAATTTATTCTGGTTAGCTGTATCTAATTGTAGAATTTGATTTCTCTGAAGTAGAAAATAAATCTGTAAGGGAACAAATACCTGTCTCAGTATTTTTGTATGAAAGAGTGAGACATGGTTGAAAAATTTACAAAGAAAATCCAATGAAAATTGTACTACAATGCAACCAAAATATGGTTCCTTTATGACATAAAGGGTGAACCAAGGAGGGGCATTCATTTCTGTTTTCAAATAAATATGGTGTTTCATCCTTTAGCTCTTGAATCTCCATCAGGATCCCAACCTTAAATGTAAACTGACACATACATGTTCACACTGGAACATATTTTGAAAAGTGCTCTCCCTACAGAGCTAGCACTACAAATGGCAGGACAACGTGTGAGCTTCATGAAAAGCTTATTTAGATATTCTCACCAATATAAGCTGTCCACAGATGCATGTGTTTGAGTTCAAGTTTTATGTGTAGATGAGTTGTGAGAATGGAAACTAACAAGTGAAGGTAACCGGTTCTGGACTCTATAAAAGGCCTCGAACCCCTGATGGGCACCATCTCCTACTGTCATCAACAATTAACATCCTCATTACTGTGTTTTGGGAAACTGGAACACGCTGTGGTACCCCCAATGTGCACTCAGTGGGGTTGCTGAGGAAAGAGGAGGGGCTGGACCTGAGTCAGCGTCCGTCTTTAGAGAGATCAAGCCAAAGACTCTTAGAAGTCTCCCCCCACATGGCAGAAGCTATGATTATAAACACAATTTTCATCCAAGCTTGGAAATAACAGCCTAAACAAAAACATTGTTTTTTCACTAGAACTCTGAAAACTGAACCACTGTCATGAACTGCAGTCACCCCAGAGTGTCATAAACCTAACAAAAAAAAGGTAAAACTGAGTCATGATCTGGACTAAGATGACATAATAAAAGAAGTTTGGAAACATAAATTCCAGAGGCAATCTGTTTGCAATAAAATCAAACTGAAAACGATTCCTTGTAATCTATGGCCATGTAATATAGTTGTCTTTCAGAATGACGGTAACGTTACTGCAACAAGCACATCATTGTCAAATCTAAACAGTGTCTGTGCTGATTCATTGAAAGTAAGAAAAGGTTTCCAGTCATGAAAAAAACTATGTACATCCCAAGGTCAAGCCTTTGACTGGAGCATTTCAACACCTTGATTCTTAGCATTTTCTGTCATTCTATTATTGACTCGATGTTGTATTGGGAGCTCTTATTCTTTAAACTAAACTTCAACTTGCAGAGGTTATGTTACATTTGACTGTATAATATTTTTTTATGTAGGAAAGTTCAACTACTCTGTTTGTGAAACAAGGCCAAACCATGAGTCCATTCACCACTGTGCTTCACGAAACTTTAGATTTTCTCAAAATATGGGGCAAAATAATGGTTGATCATCTTTACTTCGCTCTTTTGCGTCCAAAGGAAATTTTTCCATTTTTGTCCTTCCTGTGGTTCATTCAGATAAAATTATGAAAACCAAAGATATGCAGCTGTACTTATTTTATCTTCCTAGTCTATTCCAAACAAGTCATGCTGTTTCTCAGAACATTGAACTGACTGACCTCAAATTGAATTTCATTACAATATATGATGCTTTCTTAAATATTTTACACTTCTGAATAATCTTCAATAACGTCTACTATTCTGGACATGACCTCAAAACCACTAGTAGTTTGATGTGTAGACACAATGGCTTTTTTGAAGTCATCACTGATGTCAGGCGTGTACTTACTATTCCCCATAGCTGGGCTGTATAGTCACAATATAAGTGCATTTTTTATTGGTCTACCTTATAACGCCATTGTTGCCCACATCTGCATCAGAGCTGTTGACCAGAAGCACGTCCGTTCCTGTTGGGGCGTCCTCCATGATGGTAGTGTGGAAGGTGGAGGCGGTAAAAACAGGGATGTTATCGTTGACATCATCCACTAGGATGGTTACCGTTCCCGTCCCACTGAGGGATGGAGAGCCTGGAAAGGGAGGAAGTAAAAGATACACTTATTTCATTAGAATTGCTTTAAAGTACGCGTTGTGCCACCACGAGCTGGAAATAGAAACATCTGAATGGCATTATGGCTCCAGTTTTCTGATGCAATCCAGTGATTTATTGTGTCAGACTCAACATGTAGTGGAACATCTACACTGGGCCAATTGGTATCATGAGAGTTTGTCCACACTTTTCCTGCTTCATTTAATTCAAGCCAATGTGTTCAAAAAATGTTTTGCATTTCCTTTGGTTCTGTCACATCAACCCACTTCAGAGGAGAACACATGAAATAGCTTGATGTCTCTGAAACCCGATCTCTTAGTCGTCCTTCCTGGGGATTTGGACACCTATAGATTTAATCTCCACACTGAGGGATCTATTTTAAGGTGCGCAGCAGTCAGGCAGTCAGTCAGTGGAATTTGAGCGAGGAGAAGTGCTATTTTCAGCAGAAATCCAAACATTTTTTTCCTCCCAGAACGGGTGATGAAACAGGCCAAGCTAGGCCCTGTGGGGTTGGATTTTAATCAATAGCAGATGAAAATGAACTGCAATGCAGGAAAAAAAAAAAAAAAAGCATTTCATACATCTGCCTTGCTTGAGCTGGCCTTTTATAATCCTTCCTCGAATGGCACACTAAACTGCCTAATCTATATTCCAAACATAAACACAAGTTCAGCCTCGTTACGGAGAGTTGCTCTGTGGGATTTGGGGACATCTCTGAAAGCCTGGAGGTATTTTCACTTCTTAATGATGCGCATATGGCTTGTAGAGTAAATACTGAGCACCTGAGGAGGGAGAGCAGGCTGAGATCTGAAAGCCTTGAGAGGCATTTTCACCTCCTGTAAACATAAAGTTCATCTCTTCCAACTCTCCACAGGAATCTGTGTGAATACATAAATTATGAAGAGCAAAGATAAAACCATAAACAACCCGTGTGTACACAGCTGTGGAAAACATCAGCTGCTTGAAAAACTGTACTGTTGGGGGTCTTTATTAAAAGGAGATTAAAAAAACAACAACATTTAGACAGTGGCCACAGAAAGTCTCTTTTTCTTGTGTTGGAAATTCCAAACAAAAAGAATCAGAGAAGAGAGAGGAAAAAGTGGGAGGTCAGAGTGAAAGTGAATTAAATATTATTCAGTCCGCATAGATGAATAAATTTCAGAAAATAAGGGTAACATTCTTGCACTGGCTTGTAAAACTTTACTTTAGAAGAGAGAACTTAGTCTCTTTATCACAATTGTTACTGGAAGATCATGAAGGGAAAACATGCTTAAAAGTGGATATCATCTTTGTTTTGAGTTAAAAATCACACGAGAGTTATGAATTTAATGCTTTGGTGCACAACTGTGAATGATTTTACAATCTTTTCATTTTCCTTTGGATCAAAACAATTTTGATCACTGTTTTCCTTTGTAGTCGATGTTTGTTACATTTCACAGTTGAACGAAGACAACGGGAACACAGATGAGCTTGTTTTTGTTTGTGTTATAGTCCTTACAAAGAAAATCCAAATCAGCCGGTTGGACCTTGAAGAAAACGGGAAATCAGCATCAGCTGGTAAAAGCCAGATTCAAGCATCTGTTGAATATCTGGTGAATATCAACGCTGAAAAAGATAATTGAAAAAACAGAAGACTTGTCCGTCAGTCAGTCAGTCAGTCGCACCACAAAATCGACTTTCTTAACAACAAACAAAATAATTCAAAATGAAAACATGATGTGGATACATGGCCAAATATTTTGGTATTGAAAAATGGCCATTTAAGTGTAATATGCTAATTATTTCCAATGAGTTTGAGAAAATGTTGCTAAAAATGAAATAACAGAAAACTAATGTCATCTTGAATCATTTTCAGATCCATTAGTTGTGATTATATGTTGCATTGATTTCAAGAATAGGATTTTTTTCCCCGAAAAAATAAGTCCGTGACAAAGGAAGAGCTGCTTTCATGAGTGCAATCATTGGGTTTTCTGTGGCCTATCAACCTCTGTTTCAAAAATTTCTGTTCAAACAAATATTAACATAATCTTGTTATAAAAAAAGTACAGCAAAAAAATTATGTAGAATAAAGCTAAATGGAATGATATACAAAACTCAGTAATAGTTGTTAAATAAAGCTCCAGGGCAAAAGCAAAGAAAATCTACTGCGAGTGCTATGGCTGCTGTTAAGCTGTATACACTAATTCTGACTTCCCTGTGATCAAAAAGCAAAAGGAAACTTTCCCAACGAACGTCAACAAAACTTAAGATTATCATTGGGTTTGGAGACCCCCGGAGTCTCTTTCAGGAAGAGAAAGGGGATTCCTCAGAAAATGGGATTTGAGGTAGTTTACTGGAACCTCGCATAACAGCCTGGCTTTATGATAATAAACAGAAATTTGACCTGAAGCTTGTAATGCATCCAGGGTTTTTCTGGTCAGAACAGAAGTGGCTAACATGCGCATCGAGAATAAACACAGCTGAATTCCAGAAGCAAAACAAATGACACAAACAGAGCGATCAGTAAAACATTCTTCATCCCAAAAAGAGAACCAGAAACCATAACACTAATCTTAAGTGACTCATCACCACAGTGAGTCACCTATCTAAGACTTTTCTGACTTTTTAAGGTTGCCATGTTTATAACCATTCATACTCAATGTTGAAATCGAAGTGATTATGCAATTCCTAAAAGAGTTCATGGATTCTAGAATTTAGCTTGCAAAGCAAATATTATGAAATCATTGCCAATTTATACAGTGAAACCTAGCTGCTAAATTAGTGAAAGTAATTATCTGCACAAGTATAATATTGTGTAGTTCAAAATAAATAATAGCAGGACACCTGATGACACAAAAGTGCTTGAATCCATGTGGTCAGCAGGATTAGTTGATTAATATAACATGTTGATGTTTCCAAATTTCTATACAGGTTTTTCTAATAACAAACATATTCCAGTCCTAAACTGATGCCAGTGCAAGCTTAGTATCAAACATTTCTGTTTTTACTGGTGAAAAACATTTTAAAAAGAAATGAAATATTTCAGCTGAGACCAGAGCTAGGGATGGCATTACAGGGATCAAAAACCAGATCAAATGAGCTCCATGTCGAAAGTTAGTTTCATGCCTGAATTCCTTATACAGAAAAATTAAGATTCACACAGGAAAAACAATGATTTTATTATTACTTCTCTTGTTGAGAATGTTGAACTGGATGTTGGAACTGAATTTATATAAAGCTGTTTAAATAAGATCTTTCTTTTAATATCACCAGCCAGTGTTTGTAGATCACACGGCGGAGTTATAAATTCAGTGAGGTCATTTAATATCTGGTTGTTTCTAAATGTTGCTATAATCAGTATGTGCTGCTTATAAATTCAGGTAAGAGACCAACCATATTGGTTTGTTATGTTCATTCAAAACACACCAGTTTTATTAATATATTAATTAATGTGATATTAAGGCACTGGTCAAACTAAAGCATAATATTTGGCAACACAGATGTTTTCCTCATGATCTGAGGTCTGCATAACATAAAAAGCATCTATGGAAACTCTAAAATGGAAACTCAACATTGCAAATAAATATTTATTTATTTATTTTTGCTTTGTTTTAATGTTTGAGATTTTGGTAAATGGAAGTTTGGAATTTGAGTATGATTGCTATTGTTGATTGATAACAGTATTGATTGACACAAACAATTATCTACTGTCATAAATGATGTCAGTTCCAGGAAAAGCTTCTTCAGCAACACGAGTCATCATTAGGCTGGTCGCCATGGCAACAGATTAAAACACCTCGTCCTCAGCTGATCCTCCTTCCGAGGAGCAATCCAAGTGAGCGAGCTGTCTGTATCACTTCAAATTAAATTAATCCAGGCAAAGTGTGTGTGACAGTCAACAAGCAGCTAATACGGCTGTTGATCAGAGCCGCTGTGAACAGGCTGCTGGAACTGCCGGGCCGATAAGTGGCTTGGGGTGCTATAAGTCGCTTTGTCTACAAAAGCCATTAGCTCCAGCAGAGGGACTGAGAGCATGGAGAAAATATTTGGTTTTGATATGAAGCCAGCTGCTGTATTTTTCTGAACTGTAGCTGCCTTCTGCCACACAGAGAGCGCTGTGGCTGCATTTCAATACTATTGTTTCCATACTCAGGACGGAAGCAGGCTACAAGGCTAGACCTCTGGTTGTGTGTGTGTGTGCACCTTCCTCCTCGACGTTTCGCTTTTGTGCAGGATGTGATGTCACAACCTGTTTACTGTCTTGGGAAAATCAACAACCTCCGTTGTTCACAACTTTTGACCTTTACCTCAGTCCCCTGAACTCATCACGGAGACTCCAGTTAATCCTTAGAAAACACAAAACAGACACCTAAACTATACACAAATGATCCCTTTGACACTCTTCTGACCCCAGTGCTTTGGTTAGAAACCAGTCGAAGGAGTTTTTCCAATCTCGGGCATCGACTCTCCAAGCGTCATACGTCTCCATGCAGCTTCATGACGCGTCTTCTTAGCCTCCTGACGCTTGCACATATCACATAACACCTGGCAGCTGTTGCTTTAGCCTCTCCAATCCTCGTTGTCCAAGTGCAAATAGTTCAGATATATCTGCTTACATTGCGTGGGTCGACAGATTTAGTCGAGGAATACTATATCTTGGCAGGTACGCGAAAGGCATGTAAATGTCAGTTGTTTCAAGCAGTTAAAGTTAAGGTGGTACATTTTTGTGATTTTATGGGACAGCGGCTGCTAAATAACAGGGACAACATTGCAACTAAGAGTGTTGAAAGTTTCCGTTTCTTAATTTAATTTTATTTTTTACAGAGATCTGAATCGGCTAAAAAAAAGAAGAAAAGAAAATGCTGCAATCCTGCAGCATTTTCTTCATGAACAAACTATACCCCCATCCCCTTCTTCTTTTTATGGAGGCAGTGACTCAACGGGAGAGGAATGTGCTCCAAGAGTGCAAAGAAACGTCAGCATCTCCTCCAGATTTACTGG